GTCTGCACTCAGTCGGCACATGAAAGGTCAGGGACATAACAACTTGTACATCCTGGTGACTTGATCTACAGGAGTTTGTTCTGTCTGCTCCGAAGACCAGAGTCTAAAGTAACCATGTCGACAGGGTTGGTTCCTTCCAAGAGCTGTGAGAGTCCGCTCCAGCCTCTGCCCTGGGCTTTGTGGGTCATTTTCTTCTGTCCTCAGAGCATCCCTCTGCCGCAGTCCCTCCATTTTACTTTTTCTTTTTTTTTTTCGGTCTTTTTGAGACAGGGTCTCCCTGTAGCCCCAGCTGTCCTGGAACTCACTGTGTAGACCAGGCTGGCCTCGAACTCACAGAGATCTGCCTGCCTCTGCCTCCTGAGCATTTTACATTTTTATTATTATTTTTTTTAATTTCCATTCTATGTGTATGAGTGCATTGCTGCATGTATGTGAGTGTACATGTGTTGTGCAGTGCCACAGAGGTTAGAAGAAGGCTTTGGATTCCCCTGGAACTGGTGTTAAGGATGGTTGTTAGCTATCATGTGGGTGCTGGGAATCGAACCTGGGTCCTCTGCAAGAACAGCCAGTGCTCTTAACTGCTGAGAATCTCTCCAGCCCAGTGGTGGCACTTTTATTTTGGGGTAATCAACAGCTCTCTAATTGGACTTAAGGCCTGCTCAATGGGAGGAAAATCATGTGTGATACTGTAAAAGGCCACATGACTGTAGAGGTCATAGACCCTAGAGAAAAGCCTGCTTCTGTCACTTGCCAGACCAACATAATTTCTTACTATTTTCTAAATACATAACCTTATACTTACAGACAAGTGTACCTCTCACCACTCATCAAAGAAGCTTCTTTTTGCTACAGACGGAGACTATTGCAGAGTTCTACAACTGGTTAAACTCATTCCCATTTTTTATTTGAGACAGGGGTTCCCCATGTAGCCCAGACTAGCCTTGAACCAAGAGCCACTTTTTCTTAGTCTTCCCTACCACTGCAGTCACAGGTATATATCACAGACTTGCCTTCCAGCTTTTAAATTTTTTTATTTATTACTTTTATTTTATGTGTATGCATGTATTGCCTGCATGTAGGTAAGTATACCCGTGTCATGCAATGCCCACAGAGGTCAGAAGAGGCTGTCGGATCCCCTGGGACTGGAGTTACAGACAGTTGTTAGCTGCCATGTGGGTGCTGGGATTTGAACCTGGGTCTTCTGCAAGAACAGCCAGTGTTCTTAACCACTGAGCCATCTCTCCAGCCCCAACCTTTTATACGTGAGGAAGGATAGAAAGATAGGGAAAAGTACTGGACCACAAGAAGGGGAAGGAACCCCCACCTTAGAGTCTGATTGAAGCCTTTCACCTGTTGAGAAGCAAGAATTCCAGTAAGTTTGGGACTTAGAGAACAACATTCTCTTTGCAAAGACATTCTGTGTCAAAATAGCACTGAACCAGGCCTAAGGCCTGAATTATGTGACCATGGGTAGGTCATTCCTCTTCCAGAAAATTTTTAGGAATCAGACAAACAAGCCTGTCAATTTTGTTAACAGTGGAGACACCCTGGCTTCTCTAAGAGTTTTATCTTGCCCATCATGATCTTGTCTGGAACCCTCAGGAACCACCCTTGGATCTTATTTAGAGCCTTAGTGATCACCAGGTGTGGTGGTACACACCTTTAATCTCAGCACTTGGGAGGCAGAGGCAGGCGGATCTCTGAATTCAAGGTCATCCTGGTCTACACAGTGAGTTCCAGGCCAGCTGTGGCTACAAGGAGACCCTGTCTCAAAAATATCAAAACAAACAACAAACAAAAATCCCTTTTCAACAAACCCAACTCTGTTTCACAGTGGCTTATCCTGATATTCTTTTCTGCACTGCAGCCCAAGGATTTAGTTTTAGCTAAATGGATAACCCTAAAAGATCAAGAAACCTCCTCAGACTGACATGTACCTCCAGGCCAGCTGCTGCTGACAAAGGACACTGGTCATATTGGACTGGGCCCATCCCAGTGATCTCCCTGTTATGGTCCTGGGGGTTAGGACCTCAACATGTGGATTTCCAGGGAGGGTATGTGACAGGTCACAGTTTAACTCAGAATAGCCAGTTTACAGGCAAGATTCACCCTGGGACAAGGGTGACTCTGGTCTGAAGGTAGAATCAATTTCTCCCAGATCAGCTCATAGGGTCCTTCTCTGAGGATGAGGCCAGTTAGGAGGGTGGAGAAGGCCACCTACCTCCACAAGGGGTGGTGGGAGGAGGTGGGCCCTTTGGGCAATAATAAGGTCAGAAAATGTCAAGAGAATAGACCTGTATGGTGAGATTTTTGTCTTTTTTAATATTTTATTTATTTTTACCTTATGTGTATGAGTGTTTTACCTACATGTAAGCACCTGCGTTGTCCAAGCCCCTGGAACTGGAGTTATATGGATAGACAATTGTTAGATGCCATGTGGGTAGATGCTGGGAATCACTCGAGTCCTCTGCAGGAGCAGTCAGTGCTCTTAACTGCTGAGATACAGCCCCAAGATTTGTGTCTTTTTTTTTTTTTTTTTTTTGAGACAGAATTTCCCTGTGCTGGGGTTAAACGCATGTGCCATTAAGCCCATTCCAACCAGAGTTCTTTTCAGAGGCTCCACTGAGGTGAAGCTGAATCCCAAGTTAAGCCACAGAAAAGAATTTGAAGACAAGTCTATGTAAAGCAAATTTGGTTTAGTTTTTATTTTTATTTTTTATTTTTTGTCTTTTTGAGACAGGGTCTCTCTGTAGCCCCAGCTGACCTGGAACTCATTGTGTAGACCAGGCTGGCCTTGAACTCACAGAGATCCGCCTGGCTCTGCCTCCCCAGTGCTGGGATTAAAGGGGTGTGCCACCACACCCCTTTAATCCCAGCGCTTGGAAGGCAGATAGAGGCAAGCGGATCTCTGTGAGTTCGAGGCCAGCCTAGTCTACAAAGCGAGTTCCAGGCCAGCTAGGACTACATAGTGAGACCACATTCCAAAAAATCCAATCCTTCCCCCCAAAAGACACACATCACACATAGCCTTTCTCTCTCTCTCTCTCTCTCTCTCTCTCTCTCTCTCTCTCTCTCTCTCCTTCTCTCTCTAATTTAGTGCACATACAAGGATGGGCGTAGGTTTCTTGGAGAATAGAGGATCATCACTGGGATACTCTCTTAAGGACAAACTTTAATGGAGGGGAGGATTATTCATGAGTTAAGTTGGGGTTGGGGGACGGCAGGGCATTCTAGGAATGGGTCTGACTTTTCCAGGAACAGTTTACTCCTTTTGGGGTCCTCAGACGGGTTTTCAAGACATGGAAGAAACAGGCAGCAATTCCAATCAGCCACGCCGGCTGGCCATGTTGGTCCCGGCTGGTTTGGGTTTATAAGGTGATCTTGCTGCAACACAGCTCTGCCATTGAATCAATCCCGGCCACCTTGAAATTCGGCATACCCGGCCCTCACCAGGAGCTGAATCCGTCAGCATTTTGATCTTGGCTGTCTATATCCCCCAGAACAGTGAAGGAATTTCTGGCAGTTAAGGCCCTCTATCAAGCTGTATTGTCTGTTGGCAGCCCCAGCTGAAACTGGAACTGTGGGCCAGAGCCAAGCTCAGAGAGCCATTCATTGCAGGGAAGAGAATTATATGGGCTCTTATGCTAATTCAGGAAACCTTGGAGCTGGGACGCTATTGCTCAAATATCCTCTGGGTATAGTATCCTGATGGGGGCATTTCAAATACACAGGGGCACATACACTGTCCACATCTGAATACCTCCCTCTCCTACCCCACCTTGATCAGTCATCTACGCCCCCTACCTTTCACTGGCCAACTTCACAAGTGGCCTTCAAAGGAATGGTGATACATGCCTTTAACCCCAGCACTCAGGATGCGGAAGCAGGTGGATCTCCGAGAGTACAAGGGTAGTCTGGTCTACATAGTGAGTTCCAGGCCAGCCAAGGCTGCATAGTGAGACCCTGTCTGAAAAAAAAGAAAAAGAAAAAGAGAAAGCCCCCCCTCCACATCCCCACCATGGCGGTTCTGACCTCTTTTTCCTTATCTCCAAAATGGCTCTTCTGACCTCCATGGACACTGCATGACATGAGTGCACTTACCTACATTCAGGCAATGTAACTCATACACATAAAATAAAAATAATAAGTAAGATATTTAAAAATTATGTTTGCAATATTCTTCCTTTTAATTCCAACGAATCGTGTACAATGTTCGCTTTCTCTGGCGCTGGGCTTACACCAAGGGCCCTGCACCTGCACTGTCACTGAGCCGCCTCCCCTCTCCTAAGAGGCTTCATGCTGTCCTGTTCCTAGACCTTGCTTCCCCTTCTCAGAGCAAGCTGGTCCCCTGGAGGCTCTCCCTAAGCTCTTCAAGCCTTTTGCTGGCCTATGAACCTGGTGTCAGTGACCACCTGGCCCCAAATGCCAAGTCTGGAGATGGGAATGAAAGAGACCTGCCCACTCCCTGACTGTGGAGAATGCGGGGTGGGAGGCGAAGAGCCCAGTGCAGCTGCATCAGATCCGTCCTCTTGGGTGGCCCTGAGCAGGACTTGAGCTTGGGGACAGCTGCAGGGGTGGAGTGAGACTCACAGCCAAACTCCAGGGCAGCCTGAGGCCAGAGGGCTGGTTGCACATGCAGGCCGCCAGGCCATAGGGGACATTCTGGGTCCTTAAGGGTCTTAGGGCGCAGGAGCTCCTTGGGAGCCAGAAGTCAGGCTACTACCAGGAGGTTATGGTGGTGGACCCGGGTGGAATGAATGAATGAACGAATGAATGAATGAATGAATGAACGAACGAACGAATGAATGAATGAGTGAGCGCACGGATGATTTTAGGGAGCGTGTCCAGGTTGAGCAGGTCTGCTAAGCACCAGCATGGGGTCGGGACCCCAGAGCCCAGCCCGCCCGCGGATAGGTCGCTTCCCGGAGGGGCGGGGCCTGCGCGGCGGGTGGGAGGGGCCTGTGCGGAGCCGCCCCCGGAACGCCCAGCGCCGCGCAGGACTCTCGGGTTCGCAGTCGCCGGCTGAGGTCAGAGGAGGCGGGCAGCGCGTCCGAGCCGAGCGCCTGCGCGAGCCGGGAGACCCGGGGATCCGGAGCCCGAGACGCCGCCTGGGCCCAGCGCCGCCAGCCCGGCATGGAGGGCGAGTGCCGGGTGCTGTCCATCCAGAGCCACGTCGTCCGCGGCTACGTGGGCAACCGGGCAGCCACGTTCCCGCTGCAGGTACGCGCTCCGCACGGCTTACGTAACCGGCCCGGGCTGCCCGCTCGTGGGGCGTGGGTCCCCGCAGGGCCACCCCCGGCCGGTGACCTTGGCCGTCGGAGGCTCCGGGTCCCCCATTTGGGCGGAGCCTGGCGCACGCTGCAGCTGCCGGTTCCGGGGTCGACTGGGCTGGGCGGGGCCGCACACCCGGGACCCCGCGGTGGGGTAGGTAGTGCAGATGTGCACGCAGCCCCGGGTCCAGCTGAGGCCCGCTGCCGCTTCCCGCCGGGCCCGCGTGGCGAGAGCTCCCGGAGGCGACCAAATGCTACAGGACTCGAGCTGGGAGCACTGCCCGGGGCTGCGGTGCTTGCTCGCTGCCTTTGCCCCCCGTGCGTGCCTGAATCGAGGGGGTCGAGTGAGGTCGCTGTGCCCACGTATGGGCCCCGCTCTGGGTCTGACCTTCCTGGGGGTGAGTGGTCTTTCAGCCACAGGGAAGGGGCCAGGACCACCCTGCACCTCCTGCAGGCCTTCTGTGTGTTGTAAAGAAATGCCGGGACCAGCACAGGTCTGCAGAGTTTGGCTTTCTGAGCAACCTGTTAGAAGGGCTGTCTGCTTGCTGGCCCCCCGCAGAGCCTCCCTCTGGGAAAGTCTGTGCGTAATGACGCCCTTCTCAGTTCGTTTTAGGCACGTTGGGGTTGTCCATTGCTTCCTGGTTGTGACTGGGTGGCCCTTGGAGGGAACCTCTGTTGCTATGAGTGTTAGAATGGACTGGTGACAATGACAGGGCAGGTGACAGGCAGGTACTTCCTTGCTCAGCTAGTCCAGCAGGAAGATGGGGCTGGTATGGCCAGTCAGGTGGAGGTGTCCTTCACTGCAGCCTTTGGCAGGGTCTCTGAGCAGTGCACCCCTGCAGTGGACATCCGGTCCCTGTGGTGAACGATGGAGGGCCACTGGGTTACGTGGAACTGCAGTATAGGCTCTCAAGGAAGACAGGAGGGCAGGATCTGAGGGCTGTCCTGAGGCTGTCATGCTTCATAGACCAAGGAGGGCCAAGTGGAGCGAGGTGGCCCACACCTTTAAACCCAGAACTCACCTTTAATCCCAGCACTGGGGAGGCAGGGGCAGGAGGATCTCTGATTCAAGGCCAGCCTGGTCTCCATAGTAAGTTTCAGGCCAGTCAAGGCTGCCTAGTGAGATCCTGTCTCAAAAAATAAAAGTACAGAGCTTCAAGTACAGGCACAGGACTGTTGGGGAGTGCTGAGTCCCTGTTGGTAGATCGCAGTGTTTCACCCACACTGCCTGGTGTGTCCCTCTCGTTCTACCCGGGATACATTCTTCACCCTAGCTTGTGGGACCAGGCGTCCTGACAGATGGATAGATTGGCTAGCAGGGTCACTGAGGAGAGACTGTAATTTTCTCTTTTTTTGGCCTTTTTGAGACAGGGTCTCTCTGTAGCCCCAGCTGGCCTGAACTTGCTATGTAGTACACCAGGCTGGCCTTGAACTCACAACGATTCGCCTGCCTCCACCTCCCAAGTGCTGGGATTGGCACTGTTTTTATGTGCATGAGTGTATTGCCCACAGGTACGTAAGGGTCATACAATGCCTGAGGAGGTCAGAAGAGGGTGTTGGATTCTTCTGGAACTGGAGTTAAGGATGGTTGTTCGCCACCATGTGGATGCTGGGTATCAAACCCCTGTCCTCTGCAAGAACAGCTTGTGCGCTTAACCACTGAGCCATCTCTCCAGCCCCTGAGATTGTAATTCTCACCCCGGGATTCTTTAGAGCACAGCATCCTCTCCTGTGAGCTCCACATGGCTCCATGTTGGCGTTTTGTTTCCTGCATCCTTTGCCTGAGCACTCCCGGACAGGGAGAAGCAGTGAGGTGGGTAGGGTTGGACCCAGGTAGTCGGTGGACCCCTTCAGCTTGGAGGGCCTCAGTGAGCACAGGAGGGGCTGGAGCTGGCTGTGCCTGCGGTGGCCGGGGGCCAGCTCTGGCCAGCCTTCCAGCAGCAGTCCGAAGAGGAACATTCTCAGTGTAGGCTCTATGCATCCTACTGTATGACCTGGAATCCAAAGTCTTATCCATGTGGCTGAAAAGGGAGAGACTGAAGACAGGCTAGGCCCCCAAAATTTGTCCTAGTGCTGCTCCAAGAACATTGCATGGCAGGAGGCTGGCGACGCCTCTTCTGGGGACTGATGCCGGCGTCCAGGGCTCGCCCCACAAAGTGGACATCCCCTCGTACCAGGATTATGGCTGAGGAAGTTTCTGAGCCTTCTCTGCAGACTTGGCTCCATGCTGTGAGTGAGCTGGTGCCAGGGCTTCTGGAGTACCTCGTGCTTGGCCCGACTTGTGCCTGTGATTGGGGGAGCTCCACAGACCCACACACCTGGACCATCAGCCCTGTCTCTCCAACATTCCCCACAAGGTCCTCCAAGCTCACCTCTCCCCAGCCTCCCACAGACAGCCAAGAAAGTGGTCCAGAGAGGGAGCAGAACTTTGACCCTGTTTTCAGATTTTGCTTCTTGGCCCCAGGCCATGATTCAGTTTAGTGGCCAAGGGTTTCATGTGACCAGAGCCAGTAGGAGGGTGGGGTACCAGGTGGAATAATACAAAAGCAGAGCAGGAGGGTTAGGGAGGCTCCTAGTCTCTTTCCTCACCTACCTCTGCAGCAGGGGAGGGCTGTGAAGCTGGGAACCTCCTGCTGTTCTGGCCCTTGACTGGAATGGGCGGGACAGGGAAGTCTGAATCCCTTCCTAGGAGGCACCACCGAGACTGCCCTCCCTCTCTTGTTTTTTGTGGTGCTGGGAATTGAACCCAGGGCCTTGTATGTGGTTGGCAAGTTCTCTTCCCCCAAGCTACACCCTTTAGCCCCTGATTCTCATTTTAAATGGTGCTGGGGGTGGAGCCCAGGGCCTTTGTCACACACATTGATTCACCAGCTCATATTCTGCAGACCCTGTGGGGAGATCCCTGGACACCCAACCCTCTCCTACCCTGTTGCTTCTAGAAGGCACTGCACATGAACCTTAGGATTTTGTTGGTTTTCTCTGAGGGACAGAATGGGGCCACAGACTGTAACTGAAAATGGAAAATGACCCCGGCCTCTTCTGGAGACCAGAAGCCCAAGAGCATGGAGTGGGCAGGACCCCCATGCCTCTGAAAGCCAGCCCTTCCTGTCTCAGCTTCTGGTGGCCCCGCATGCCTTGGCACTTGCCTACGTCACTGTACATCCCTCTGTCCTCTCTCCTCCCAGCCTGGATGGCCCTAGGAAGGTGTCGTCTTGGCACCCTTAACGTTAACGTGTTCTCCGTGCAGCCACATGCACAGGAGCCAGGCAGACTCAGCTTCGGGAGGTCTCCTTTCAATCTTGGTGGGTCAGTAGCCTTCAGGAAAACTTGAAAACGGCCAAGTGCAGGATCTAGTGAAAGACTCCGTAGCTGGTGGTGTTGAGATGTCCTTTTGGAAAGGGAGGGCAGCAGCGGTGACTGCATTCTCCAAGCCATCCATACAGCTGTGGCTCTAGGCTGGGTCTGCCCATGGTGGAGGGTCACAGCTGCCTGTCCTGACAGGGGTGCGCCGGCCTTGCATCTTACACTGATGAGCCTGTGGAGTGGCTGACCTGACCTGGCCTGGACACCCAGTTGTGTGACTTTGTGCTAGAGAGTCATGGTGACCGTGTAGCCTTAATGGGCCATCAGTAACAGGCATGGGTGTTAATGTTAACTTACTGAATCCATAAGCGAATGGTCAGGACTTTAACCCAAAACCCATAGGGAGATCACGTGTGGTGACCTTTAATCCCAGCGCTCAAGAGGCAGAGGCAAGTGAAATCTCTGAATTTGAGATCAGCCTGGTCTACATAGCAAGTTTCAGGCCAGCTGGGGCTACAGGGAGACCCTGTCTCAAAAACACAAAACAAAGCAAAACCCAGCCCTTGGGAGGCAGACAGGTGGAGCTCTCTGAGTTTGAGGCCAGCGTGGGGTATGTAGTGAGACCATGTCTCAAAAAAAGCCACAGAAAAATTGGACCTTGGAGATACATGCCTCAGAAACAGGAAGGCAGGACCACAGGACCCTCCTGAGGAAGACAGCTGTGTTTGGGGCCTGCAGGAAGTAAGGGACCTGGAAGCACAGTCCTGTTCACTTAAACTTCTCCAAGAAGGGACAGTACTGGCTGAGTTCCTGCCTCAATTCTGAGTTTAGGGTGAGGCTTGTTTTTTTTTTTAAATTATTTTTATTTCATGTGTATGGATGTATTGCCTGCACGTGGGTAAGTGCACCCGTGTTATGCAATGCCCGTGGAGGACAGAAGAGGCTGTTGGATACCCTGGAACTGGAGTTACGGACAGTTGTTAGCTGCCGTGTGGGTGCTGGGAACTGAACCCAGGTCCTCTGCCAGAACAGTCTGTGTTCTTCACTGCTGAGCCGTCTCTCCAGCCCCTGAGGCTTGTTTTTGATTCTGTGCGGAAAAGCAAGAACTTCCTCAAAGTCTTATGATTCTGTGCGGAAAAGCAAGAACTTCCTCAAAGTCTTATTTTCTGATCTCGTTTTCCCTCCTGCCTCTGGCCTGGTCCGCACGCGTGTGTGTGTGTGTGTGTGTGTGTGTGTGTGTGTGTGTGTGTGTGTGATTGTGGGTGTGCATACATGGCTAAACATATATGTGGTTGTACTGCTTGGTGTTGCTCTGCCCTCTGAAAGACCTTGGCTTGGGTAATCCTGCTGTGCCTGGAAAGGGGGCAGGTGTACCATGGGGCCTGCTATGTGTATTGTTGGCTGTGATGCCTCCTGGTACACACTCACACTAAAAAAAATTATTTATTCTTATTTTAGGGCTGTGCTGTCATGAGTCTGTCAGCCCTTGCCTACCTGTCCTGTCTCCTTGCCTGTAATAGTCCTCAAACCACTGGAAAAGCATCACCTTGAGCGAGCAGTTGAACTGAGGACACTGTTGGGGGGTCAGTTGCTGTTCATAGGAGTGAGACTCTATCGGGGGAGCCTGTCGCCCCTGCCCTCTCTGGG